CCAGGGGTCAACTTTTCAAACAAAGTAATCCAGCAACAAAGTGCCAAGGTGTCTTTGCCAAGATATTTATATTGGTTGTGAGTTGAAGATCTGACATCTGCAGCCAGGAGCTGTCTTGGTTCACGTCCATGCCTTCAGGTAGACATTGGACACTTTGAAACACCAGTGAATCGTCTTAAGATATTTTGAAAGAGGAAGCATAATGTTTGGAATGCATGTAGCATTTGCAATGCCTGGAGGTTCTGACTTTATAACAAAAAGCTGACATAACTCAATTCATTTCAAAGAAAAGGCAACCTGATTGAAATAATAAAATCTGCTATTAGAAAATTAAGTCTGAAAGACAGAGAAAAATGTGAAATTCTATAAATTTAAGGTTAGAGCACTGTTGAAGAGGTTTGAGGGCTTAATCTCTTCTCATTTTCACTTTACATCAATAGGCTTTTGACTTCAATGGGATTATAAGAATGTAATTGAGAAGAGAATCAGATACATTAATTTTTTGGCAAACTTAGAATGAACACAGCCAAATGAAAAATGAATGGCCAAGTTAAATGTCTGTTTTGGGCTTGGGTAAAGCTCACACTGATGTTTTGAAGGGCAGAAGGAAATATTTAAAGGACCATACCATTGCTGTCTGCAACAGAATGAATGCTTTTTTCCCTTGCATTTATTTGAATGAGAATAATTGCATTTTCTTCAGATAAAAGAATATAAAGGGCAGCATCTTTATAAAGGATAGCTACCTTGTCACCAAACTGTCCCAGACCTGATGAGGCCAGTTCCTGGTCCTTAGATATTTGTATAGCTCCAGCACCTTGAACTGCATATTCATTTTTCAGTACTGAAGGAAGTAGCATATGGAATCTATAAAACTAAAGATATGGCATAATGTAGGCATATGGAACCAACAGCAGAAGTAAATATCCTGCCTTAGAAACTGCTTATTTAGGCCAGAGGATACCAACTCCCCAACTGGCTCTCTATGCAGCTTTGAATAATAGAAGGGTGAAACAGCATAGCCTTCTTTCTGCATTGAGACATACAAAACCATTTTGCATTGAAAGAGAAATTGTTCAATGAAGATTTGCCAGGTTTTGATAAGCCAGAATAATCCATATCTGATTTCAAGAACAAAGCAAAAGAAGATGGTGCTTCTCAGGGCTGCAGTTCTTGCTTAACCTACTGACAACAATTCAGCTACCTTGTTACGGTCTTCTTTGTGTCTAGTCTTTGAATTTGTCAAGACAAATCTGTGTAATGCAACCCATGCTGGACAGTGGTTTTACTCATTATTTTCTCCAGGTGAGATGCTGGATAGTAAATGCAGTGGGTAGTAAGTTGGATGATGATGGAAGCAAGAATGAAATAAGCAATGCAGATCAAAGGGATGCATTCTGCCCTTGTGACAAGTTTCATCCCTCACAGCATTATAAAGTAGATGTGAGAAACACCAGGTAACAAATAAAAGAAAACATAAGCAAGGCACACCCTACTTATCAAAAAGGCACATGGACAAGCACAGCACCAACATCAAGTACTGCACCACAGTGAAAAAAGAGGTGATGAAGTGGTAGTTAAAGAGGGAACCAGTGTATGAAGCACTGTTCTGTACTGTACGGGAGGCTTCTGTGACAGATATTCAATGAGTTGTTAATGAGGCACATTCAGGCATTCTGCCTGGCACAAAAAGAGAATAAATACACACCCAAGAGAAATTTAAGTGTGGAACATTATACATTACAGTAAGGAAAAGCAATGGATAAACAGACTACTATAGGGAGCAGGCAGTGTCCTACTGCAGACTGCAGGAATGATTTAGGAGCTTTCAGCTAAGAAAACTCAACATCCAACTGTGCTGTTAGGTGCTATCCATTACAATCTATCTTAACAACACAGTTGCAAGCCAAGCCCGACAGTAAAACAAGCCTGTTATTTGGTATCTTGAAAGGGAAATACGGTAATTATAATCACCCCATTCCACTGCCATTTATTACTGTCAGGGACTGTATCTTAGGCCCTCTCTACACATTATAACTATTGCACAATTATCTCTTCAATTATGCAGTACATTTAGACTGGTTACATACACAAATTAACTATCTTGCCTTAGAAAGGTCCAACCAACTATAAAGTTATTGCTTGAAAATGTGTAATAACATCATAGCTGGTTTCAGTCTAGCTTTAATTTACGTGTGCAGGCAGTCTTCAGGGAGACCACAGCTACTGCAGTCTCCTAGGCAATGGGGAGCACAGTGCACACCTTGAGGCTGGGAGATTGCAGCCAATGTAGTCTCCCAGCTGCAGGAGTGTGAGGGAGCGTCATGCCCCGCAGTGGCTGGGATACAGCAGCAGCACCCCACAGCTGTGGGTGCTGGGAGTCCTGCAGCTGATAGGGCTTTCAGTCCCTGTGCCTTTGTGATACAGCTGGGACCAAGGGCTCCGTCAAGCACGTGACTCTTGGTCCCAGCTACAACTCTAATTCAGGCAACAACTCTAATTCACTGACTGCATATGCTTGCACAGTTTCCCATAATCTGTTCTTTGGTGCAAAATCCCCCCATGGGAAGAGGGAGTGAGTTCCACAGGCCTTCATTACAGGGGAGGGTGGGATTTGCAGGAGCATTCATAGTAGAAGAAATCATCATACTTTGTAATACCATCAAGTGTAACCTTATCAGACTTATGCCAATGCTGACCTTTTCAGAAAAATCTGAGTCCTGTTCCTGACAGGGCCCTTGGTCCCAGCTGCCAATGGCTCCCATGGCTCGGAGTCTGCACAGCAAAGGGGGCTCCCATGTGTGGGAGCTTGCATCTTGTCAACATAGGGGGAGCCCAGGATCAGGCTCCCCCTACACCAGCAGGAAGGCATGATTGGATCTAATGCATAATTGTGTGGATCACACATTAAATCCAATTGTACCCTTACCTGCATGTATAGAGGGGGCCTTATTCTGTGTTGCTGCAGTGTCTGGCACAATGGGGCCCTGGTCTCAGTTGACCCCAGGGCACTACTGTAATAGAAATGAAAAGTAATAATGAAATGTGCAAAACTGTTCTACATTGTGTTGACTTTTATGTTGCTGTTTTCAAAATGCATGTGCTAGAATGACACATTGCATTAAAATTGGATTTTTCTGAAAAGTTCAGCATTGGCATAAGTCTGATAAGATTACACTTGATGGTATTACAAAGTATGATGAATTTGTTCAACTATGAATGCTCCTGCAAATCCCATCCTCTCCTGTAATGAAGGCCTGTAGAACTCACCCCCTCTTCCCATTGGGGGGGATTTTGCACCAAGGAACAAATTATGGGAAACTGTGCAAGCATATGCAGTCAGTGAATTAGAGTTGTTGCCTGATCAGTCCCAGTCTTTGCTTCTCCATGCCTGGTAGAGACTATAGGCAGACAAGGTTCTTTGGGTAAATGTGATATTTTTTATTAGACCAAATAAATAGTTAGAAAAATTGTTCTTTGCGAACTTTTGGAAAGAAAAACCCTTCTTCAGGCATAGGGAGAGTTTGCTGATGATGCGTTCTCCATGGTGGAAGAAAAGCCAATGTGCAAAATACAAGTCTGTGAAAATGCAAATGGGTAGCAGTGAAGATCAGAGGGAATGGGAGACAATAGGTGTAAGACACGTGGGGCAGGGGAAAGAGGGGAATGTTGAGCTGGTGGTAGAATATAGCTGGTAAAATACAGACAGGTGATCCTGGGTTTATCAGATGGCAGGCGGTTTATAATGTACCATAAATCCAATGTCACTATTTAGTCCATGTTTTTTTATATCTAGTAGATTTATGAAGTGAAGTTTGTAGACTTGTCTTCAAAAGGTGTTTTCTAAATTCCCTTTGAGGATTAGCACTGAGAGATTGGAGAGACAGCAGTTTTCTTGTGAGAAGTGTGCACCCACAAGTAATTGGGTATTTTTGTCTTTGATAGATTTTCAGTGTGCATTCATTCTGTTTCACAGTTGTTGTTTTGTTTCACCTACATATTTTCCATCAGGGCATTTGGTGCATTGAATAAGATATATTACATTTCTGGAGGACCAAGTGTAAGATCCAGGAATGGTGATGGGTCTGTTGTGGAGTGTCATTATTGTGGGGGTGGTAGAGATAATGTTGGCAGATTTTACATTTTTTGTCCTGGCATGTTCTGGATCCATTTGGTACGCTTTGGGCCCTAGGAATTTTACTTCTGCTGATGAGGTTGGCAAGGTTCGGTGCTTGTTTGAAGGCTAGGATGGGTGGTTCCAGAAAGATATCTATAAGAACTGGGTCGTCTTTTAGTATGGGTTACAATTGTTTGAGGATTTTCCATATAGGTTCCAGGGAAGGATGGTGCGTCATAACTAATAGTGTGCAATCTGTGGGAATTTTCTTTTTGTACTGTAGCAATTCTTAACGTGGTATCCAGGTGGTTCTTGCAAAAGTGCACTCTATCTCTCTAGAGGAGTGTCCTTGTTGGGTGAAAGCTCTTTTGAGATTTGGAAGGTGACGATTGTGGGTATTCTCCTCATTGCAAATTCCGTGGTGTCAAAGGGCTTGGCTGTATAATATGGCTTTCTTAGTGTGTTTAGGGTGATTGCTGGTTCTGTGTAGATATGTATGTTGGTCCATGGGGTTCTTGTATGCGGTGGTTTGTATTTTACCATTCTGGGTATTGATCACAATGTCTAAAAAGGAAATGTTGGTGCTGGAGTATTCAAGAGAGTCTGATGGAGAGGTGATGATTATTGAATTTGTGTTGGAAATCAATTAGAGACTGCAGGTTTTCAGTCCAAATTATGAAGATGTCATCATTTACAGACTATTGAATTCTTCCCTGCTCTGTGCAAAGAGGAAGCAGTCCTTGATACAGAGGTCCTCTGCCTGTCCTTCAACTGTTCTTCTTTGGATCCTGGGTGAAAGATATCTCAGTGATTTATAAGATAAGATTCACAATCTAACAACTAATGACATTTACAATTACCTTCATTTCTCTCATTTTTGTAGCTGCAGATGGAATGGTGTGTAACAAATTATGCTCCAATGATGGCTGTTGGGGACCAGGATCAGACCAGTGCTTATCCTGCAAGCGTTTCATCAGAGGAAGGACCTGTATAGAGTCTTGTAACCTTTATGATGGGTAAGGCATCACTTTCACTTAAATATTTGCTAAGCAGAATTGATTATGTAGACAGATTCTGATATTTATGAAGGAAATCAGAATGGCTCATTAGCAGTACCTGGCTATCAACCCATTTTATAAAAAAAAGATGCTTTTAAAAAATCCTTACCATATCTTCTGTTCAAAACTTTGCTAAATAAATTATTTTGACCAAAGATCCTTTATTTCCTGCTCTAATGGCAAATATCCCTTATTTTTCCCTCTAATGAGATAATTGTGATACAGACAATGACACTTAAACATATAGGGATTGTCCCCATGGGCGCACAGGTGCAGTTTGCAGTGCCACAAACCCATCTGCATTGCCGCAGACTGTACACAACGCACATACACATGTTCGCTGTGTTGCTGATTAGCAGCACCATGGGTTTTTTGATACCAGGAAATCCCAGTGTAAAAAATAAAGTGCCAAAAAAAGTGTTGTGGTTCACATGGCTACAGCATGAGCTGCCCAAAACTGGGGCCTGGCTGGCCAGAGCCACACTTCAGATGCCTGCTAGGCTATGCATGCTCAGATCGCTGCTGCTGCAGCCTCAGGAGGCTCCCAGAATCCCAGGTGCTGGCCGCAGCCTACCCTATCTGACCCAGGGTAATTTGCCTCATGCCAGAGCGGGCATGAAGGGGTGTGCCTAGGGACAACTAGCAGGGACACAAATATGCTGCTGCTATTTTTCCCCAGGGAAACGCACACTCCCGCTCATGAGGATGCACACACAGGGCACATCCAGATGAGCGTGGATATTAGTTTCCCCAGGGACAAGTAGCAGCAGCACACCTTTTGCTGCTGCTGCTTGTCCCCAGGGAACACCAGTGCCACTTGTGCTCTGGCACACAGCAGGTACCCTGAGTGAGGTAGGGGAAGCTGGAGCCAGTAGCTGTGCTGGCTCCAGAAGACTTATCTAGGGATCTGGCAGCCACATGGGGCAGGAAGCAAGCTGGCAGCTGAAGCATGGCTTTGGCTGGCCAGGCTTCAGTTTTGGACAGCACACACTACTGTCATGTGCGCCATCTTGCTTTTTTTTGGCATAGGTTTTTTTGACCCTCCACGCCACAAGCTAGCAGTGCGGGGAACACCTGCAAGTGTGGTGTGCATGTCCTCTTTCTCCTGAATGCAGCCATAATGTCCTTGAGTGGAATTTCATGGAACTGGAAAGTGAGTTCATACCTACCAGCTGTCCTTCAATTGTAATGACACCCTTTGTGGTCTCCAAGCCAAGTATTTTTATAGCATTAACATCAGACATTTTATAAGTTAAGCTTGTTGGCAATACATGGTGCAACCACCCACCACGTCTCATTACATTTTGAAGGTTGATTTCTTTCCCCTTGCCCCTCATACCTAATTCCTGAAGTGCTTTTGTACTTAGGCTTTTGCATAATTGGTAGTGGGAGGGTGGTGTCCTACTGACCACAGGAAACAGACTGTGTGAATCTGTTGTTTGACAGAAAAATAAATTGGAAAGTTCCATGTTGGATCATCAAAAATAAAAACAAAGGGGCTGGAGGGTAGAATTTCATTTTACATACAACAATTCAACAAGGTGGTTGACTTTTCTTAATAATGATTAATAAACCATAACTGGTTTTATTTATCTTGTGCACCAGAGAACTAATTAAACATAAAAATAATACATGACTGTCTTTTTCCTCTTCTTCCTTTCTGCTTCCTTTCACACTAGCTCATGTGACTATTATAAATGGACTCCCCATAAATACAAACATTAAACTACCATAAATGCTTCCCCTCTTTTCCTTCCCAAAGCAAGGACAATACATGAAAATCTGTCAATGTACAGCATTATGTGCATGCAAGTTTCATAGTTTCTAGGGTTGGAAGGGACCTGAGTAGATCATCTAGTCCGACCCCCCGCCATGGCAGGAAATAATACTGGGGTCAAACAACCCCAGCAAGGTGTACATCTAACCTCCTCTTAAAGACCCCCAGGGTAGGAGCCAGCACCACTTCTCTTGGAAGTTGGTTCCAGATCCTAGCCGCCCTGACCATGAAGTAGCACCTCCTGATATCTAGCCTGAATCTACCCTCTGCCAGCTTGTGACCGTTATTCCTGGTCACTCCTGGTAGTGCTCGGGGGAACAGGGACTCCCCCAATGCCTGCTGGTCCCCTCTGACTACTTTGTAACAGGCCACTAGTTCCCCCCTCAGCCTTCTCTTGTGAAGGCTGAACAGGTTCAGGTCCCGTAGCCTCTCCTCATAAGGCCTTCCCTGCTGCCCCCTGATAATGTGAGTCGCCTTCCTCTGGACCCTCTCCATGTTGTCCACATCCCTCCTGAAGTGTGGTGCCCAGAACTGGATGCAGTACTCCAGCTGTGGCCTGACCAGTGCTGCATAGAGGGGGAGTATCACCTGATCAAGTTATTGAAGTAGAAGCCCAAGTTGCATTCTCATGTACACTAGGATATATTTGTATCAACTTATGCTGCAGAATTTGGCCTCTGGTTCCCACATCAGCCATAACTCAGCAGCATTGTTAGTTAAGCATTGTATTTTGATCACATTGCAATGTAGGGGTTGTCATAATCAAAACACCCTCTTGCACTGAGGGCAGGGATTCAGTCTTCTCTCCCGATAAATCAAAAGGTATGCAACTCTTGGGGGATTTGGTGGAGACTGGAATTGTGTAGTGAAGGTCCTGCATATTTGTCTTGTACTTCAGTTCCAGTGGCATCAGGTTGCTAGAGCTTCTTTGTGTCCTCTCTCAGAGGTGTATTGCTTACCACGAACAATTTTGGCACCAGAGTTAAAGGAGCATGAGACTACTTTTCAGTGAAAATCTTCTGTAGATTCTTTATTGAAGTCAGTTAACTGGAGTGCCACAATAGGAGTGTCAGTGGTACATTGTATTTGGTCAATAAAACAGATATAAAGGTCCTCACCTCAGCATGTAGAACATGACATGGCTCCACTGCTATCAACAAGCTCCACAAATGTATTGTTTTTAACTTCTTTATGCACTGGCACACGTTGGATATCTGAAGGCAATAGGCTGTATGATGACTTGCCAGACATTCATTTAAAAACAAATTAAAACAAAAATCACAAGTATTAGAATCTGGAAGTGGTACTTTTGCAGATGTGTGCTATATGCAAATAAAATGTTTCTTAGGAAATTTGTGATATGAAGGGTTTTTGTTTAATAAAATAAAAATTGTTTAAAGAATAAAATTTGATGGAAAGTCATAGACCTTTTGGAAAGTATGGGATGTAATGGGACTGCTGAACACAAACTTAATTAAAAGTAGCAGAAATGGCACCGCAGAGATCAATACATCTGAGTTGCTCTCCTGTGTGATGAGAAGTTTTGTGTGCAACAAATGCATTTCTTAATTTAAGGGGTCGGGGGTGGGGAGAAGTGATCCCATAGACAGAGAGGAAAACTCAGCTAGCTGCAGTTCACGTCTCTCTCTGATGGTATCCTTACTTCTGAATAGAAAGAAAAAAACACCTTGATAGTTTTTTGCATGGAGAAGTATACTGCTTGACTTGTCACTAGGGCATACAGCAAAGAGTGGTACATTTAATGGGCCCAGTCTACACCTGGTGTAAATTGGCATAGCTCCATTGAAGTTAATGAAACCACATTGATTTACACCAGCTGAGGGACTGGCAGCAATTATGTTTAAATCAATTGCAGTCTGATTTTTCCCCCAGCACTAACCTAAATGACATGTTTCCCTAGTGAATTTCGAGAGTTTGCGAATGGTTCTGTCTGCATGGAATGTGATCCGCAGTGTGAGAAGATGGAAGACAACATGATCACGTGCTATGGACCAGTAAGCACAACATAAATGCCTTGTATCTCTGTAGCTTGGTTAAGTGCATGCCAGCTTAAGTAGTTATTTATAAATAGCTGTTTTTGTTCAAGAGGACTTTAAGGATCATCACTTGCAACCATTTTAAATGCATTGCTAGTAAATGGTGACAAGCAAAAGAAATTTTGCAGGCCAATAGAAACTTGGGAATAAAAAAATGAATTAATAGAAAAAGAAAACTTTGATATCATTATTCTCTCTTTCTGCACCCACTGCGCTCTTAATGCTTTTATTGATTTCTATAGACAACAGGTTGAACACATTTTTTTCTGCATGCATTGGCAAAATTTTGTTTGGCACACATGTCCAGAGTGAAACGTATCTTGAATCAGATTCTCAAATGCTTAAGAAAATGAAAATATGGTAATCTCTCCATTCTTAGAGATGTTGTATAATCTCAGTGCTAGAAGCCTATATAATTTATTTCGCTTGTACAATTTTGTGCTTTGCACATTCATTTTTGAAACAGAGAGACTACTCAGCTGTCATTTAAATATCACCTTTTTTCACTGCTAGATCCCTGCCCCCCCCATTTATAGTTAGTCAAGTCTTGTTCCCCTCCATACCTCCCATCACATTATAATTATTGCAGTTCAAGCAGTTGTGTTTTCTGTATCCAAATGACCTAGCTCGATACGGAATTCCTAGTGTCCATCTTAAAAACAGTATGAAGTGCTGCTGGCCCCATTATAATAGTGGATGAGCCTCACTAGTTGCTTTTGAATAGTGAGCAAAGTGAGATGATTCCAATATTTTTTTTTTCCACAACCCAAATGAAAGGTGGGAACCCCCATAATGAGTAGATATACTCCCTTAGTTTAAGAACAGAATTTATTTTGGACTTTTGTGGCTATAAATATGGTAGGAGGATTTGCCTTAAAATCTTTTACGTAATTTAGCTACTGATTTTAAAACGTTCTGCATGAATGATTACTATCACTACTATTATTAGTTTTTTGTTATATTTTATGCAAGTGGCTCAAAACCTTTTTAGACTTGAGGCACACCTCCATAACCTTTATGAACTGAGATTGCAGTGCTTACCTCTGTGTGCAGGGGCTGAGGTAGGAAGGGCAGGCAAGGACAAGCCTGTGCCTACCTCCTTGCACACCACAGCACCCTTCAGATGATCTCACAGCATCCCAGGGTGCTGCAGAACCCCAGCTGAGAACCACAACTTCATGCAATTCGTTCACTCAGAGCACTGAAGCCCCAACTATCTAACATAATTGGATATTTTAATTTTCAGCAAACTGTTTCAAAAGCATTGTCTCTGCATTATATAGTGTTATCCACTGGAGACAGCTGACAGCATTTTGCACAGTTGTGTCCAACTCACTCTGGGCCTGGCTGCTTTTAAATTCTATGATAGTCTTGACTTCAGTGTCAAACTTCAAGTCTCTATGGGGTAATAATCTGAAGAAACTCAACAGCTCTTTGGTATTGCTGAGACTAGAAACCACAGGTAAAATTCTGCGCAGAAATAATTCTGAGATACAAAGAAGTTGATCTCACTGAGGAGCCATTATAACCACTTTGCAGCTATGTTTAATATTGAGCGGTGGAACAAGAAAATTCCAGGACAAATGAAAGTGGGCACGAAGCCCAATGAGGTTCATCCATCCAAAGTATCCAAATCAAATCACAGGTAATACTACAAAAACAGCACTCTAATGGTAATCTCTCCTGTGTATGTTTTCAGTACAGAGCATGGAGATTTAGCTGTGTGACTTTCATTAATGATAATTGGAATCACCCAGCTAATTCTGTATTCTCTATGCTGAAAATGTACTCCTCTATCTTTGAGCATATAGTGCCCAGTATACAGCCAGCATCCCTTGTACAGTAATTCAAAGGTAGAGTATATTCAATGCACTGCATTTTTTTTCATGCTTCCCAGGGGCCAGACCATTGCACCAAGTGTTTCCATTTTAAGGATGGGCCAAACTGTGTAGAAAAGTGCCCTGATGGACTGCAGGGAGCAAACAGCTTCATTTTCAAATATGCTGATGAGGACCGTGAATGCCATCCTTGTCATCCGAACTGTACCCAAGGGTAAGCTTCAGTTCCACATATAGCAAGCATTCCTTGTAATATTTATGTTAAATGATGTTATGATTGGTTCAGAAAATAGTTCATTCTTGAAACAGCATGTATACAGAGCAATATTGTAACCCCTTGATTTTAGATCTCTCCCTACAGCCAAGACCAAGTTGTTAACATCCAGCAGCTTATCAGAGGACCAGGCTCAACACCAAACTTCACAATCTTTTTGAAATGGTTCTTACCTAAGGTCTCCTTGGCCATCCTAATAACTTCTGCTGGTGTGGAAAGTATTTCTAATAGTGCTTGCATGGAAACAGGAATGCAAGCAGCTGTTGTTTGATATTTGTTTACAGACTTTTTCACCTGGTGGTCATTGCCACCCCCTGGCACTCATGGATTCATTCTTGCAGCATTCCTGAGAGGCAAGGAAGCATTACTATCTCCATTTTGCAAACGAGAACTGAGGCAAAAGGAGATTAAGTGGCTCACCTTGGATTATTGCAAAGTTTCTGTCAGGGCCAGGAACAGAACATAGATCTCTCAAGATTCAGTGTTATTGGATCTTTCCAAGCACTCAGTTCTTTCTGAATGAGGCCACTTCAAGGTATTTAGAAAGGTTAGCCACCCCAAATCACTGTTGTCTTTTGAAAATATAAGCCAGCATGTCTGACAAATAATTGCCCATATCTCAATGAGGTTTCTGAACCACTTGAAGGGCCAGGGGGTATATGGGGTATTGTGGGGCTGGGGCAGAGGCAGGGGGAAGAACCTGGTGCCAGAGGACTTTAGTAAAATGCTGTTCAAATACCACTGGCATTAATGGGACACAGGACAGGACTCAAGGCATTTTCTCAGGAGGTTTCTTGGATAGTCCCCTGTATTCAACATGTTTTGAAAGTGCTGAATTCTCACCAACTGAAATGAAGGCTTCAAAGGTGGGAATAGTCATTAAAAAAAACTCTGCAGCTCAGCAACTTTAGTTAAATAAACAGTTATCAGTCTGCATGGGCCACTTGAGTTAAAAATGTTCTTTATGATGTGACAATAGGTTATGTCCAAGGCAGAGGAAGAGCAAGAAAACTTCATCCAGTGAAATAATCATCCACGAGAGGCTTTTTTTGTTTAGCAGCTAAAATTAAGCCAGTAAATTATTCAATATAATGTTGATGTCAACAGCTGTTGCCATTCAAAATGAGACCTTTTGCTGTTTTTGCAAATCTAATTACAATAGAGCCATTAGGGAAATGAAAGTGAGATAGCAGAGACACAGGCAGGATCTGTTGCGAATTTGTCTTCCTTTCCGCCTTTTTAAAATCAGAGTTATGTAAGAAAAAAGTGTTCATACTATAGAAGAGTAGAACAGGAAACAGTACAAAGAGAAAACTTACCTTAGAAGTAAGGTTTATAATGCTGGTTTGAATGGAGAATGGAAATATCCTTCTGTAAAATTCTACAAGCCCAACTAGGGGTAGAGTCTACCTTTACAGTCTACCCTAAGTGCTGAGCTTCATTGGCCCATGAACAGACCAAAGAGTCATCTTTTCCCCAACCCATCCCTGCCCAGTGCCCCATCACTTTGGAAGGATGAGTAAGATAATTGGTACGTTAATGCTCCTTTTTTGTGGAGCAGCTCACTCCCACCTGGACCAGCTAACAGACAGTAGCAATGAGTGTTTCTACTTTTTGCTTCTTCATGTCCTGCCCAAATGTTCCCTCTCATGGCCAGAGCATAGCCAAGAAAAGGGAAAATAGAGATTTTACTCTTGGTCGCATTTGGTGGTGGATGGCTGACAGATGTTCCTAAACCTCTCAAACAAATATTAAGGGGCAGGTGGGTAGCAGTGAGATGTAACAGGGCCTTAGGCAACAGGATCTTGGGTTTAAATATGTACTTGACTGCTCCTAGCTGAAGGGAGTCCTTAAGTCACCACATATTTGGTGACTTTTTAATGTTGTCATTTTAATGTTAATGTTAGGTTTCCCCTTATGCAGCTGCATTTTTATTTTACTGCCTATTAGAGAAATGAACATCTCACATTGCCAGTATTTGCCAGTCCTCTGACAAATGACAGGCACCAGGAGGGAAAGCACTAAAGGTCTCTCCTCTATACCTTCTCACTAATGCCCAAAGAAGTACAGTTGGCTTTTAAAGAAAGTGGTATATCTTTGGCTAGTTAAATGCTATTCCTACACAGCTATAACCCCGTTGTAATAGACCCTGAAATTAACAGTTAGAAACCCCTAGACTTTGACTAAAAAAGTCTGGTTAGTGAAAAACATCTCTTACCAGCCCTTTGAAAAATCTGGATGATCTCAAATGTTCCATTCTAATATTTCTACATACATTTTATGCCATCTAAAATGTTCTTCTGTCACTTATGTTAAACTGCGATGGTCATAGTGAATGCCCCAGATGTCTGTTTTTATGCATCGTCCATCGTCTTGCCAACATTATCAGGCTCACACTGAATGAGCCTGGAGAGAGCAAAGGAATCATTTAGTTTCCTCTCCCTGCCTGCCCCCACCCTTCACCCTCTCCATTCAATCCACAATTTTCCAGGTTCACAGCCTTCCTCTTAGAAATGAGTGTTTAAATTCCCACACTCAGCGTGACTCCTGAAATAGGAGGGAGGTAGGGAAGATAGGAAGGAATAAAGTAGCGATGGGATTGCTGTCTGGATATTTGGCCCACTACTGAATTGATGTAAAGAAATTGCATCATACTCCATCTAGTATGTCTTTTATTTGGCTTCCTAAATCAATTGCTGGAACAAAACTGACATCCCAGCAGTACAGTAAAAGTATCTGTCAAAAAGTGTTGAGCTGCTGCAGAGTACCAAATTACATGCAGCATGTTATCACTCCTGTAGCACTGCTCTTTTAGGATCAGGATATTTGCCAAAACAGACTATCAAATCTTGTTTATTGTTTCTAGCAGTAACCAACCTCTGATGTTGCAGAGGAAGGCAAACATCCCCTCTCACCTCTTGCCCATAAAGAACCCGACAAATGCCTCCATGGCAACTGCCGGTGATCAGTTTACCCACTGAAGCGTGAGATTTGATTACCCCATCTTAGCAGGTATAATTACAAATACTATTAATGGTCATAACATTATCCAGCCCATTTAATCTTCTTACACTGAGCAAGAGAACTATCTAGGAGTGACTTACTAGGTGTATTTTGATGTTTCCAGTGCTATTGGCATAGCAGCCCTGTAAAACTACATCGGTTATCTGAAGCCAATTTGGAGCCATTCTGAAGCACATGAGACAGCGATCTTGTTTAGTTCATGAGAGCTCTGAAGGCTCTTGGCACATCTTCCTCATCAACTATCCCAAGTGGAATGTTTCCACAGAAATAAAACTAAAAGATGGAGAAAGGGTGTGATGGTCAGTGTCTTCATCAGGAGAGAGGGACAGAAAGTCTCACTGGACAGCTCCACTTGCCAACGAAAGTCATTTGCACTGCTAATCTTGTAAAGGAAATTTCCTAAGCATCCCCCCAGGCCTATCCCTCCTAACTGAGAGTAAAAAAGACATGGTTCTCTACTGGAACACATTCAGCTGGCAAAGGGGTTGCAGTTCTTTCACTCCAGAACATTGAGTATGAAACATTTCTCAGGTCAAAATGAACAGTATGACCTCGGAAGCAATAAGCTCATGTGCTGTCAAATAAGGGAGAGGAGCAAATTACAAAACCAAACCGCTTCGTAATAAGTAACAGTTGTTGTTTTATTATGATAAATTATTTCAATAGAGTCAGGCTGAGTAGCCCCACCAATAGCTCAGGGCTCTATAGGTCTAAGCACTCCACAAACATCGAGTGTTTTCAGTCTAACTGAGAGCATCTCCGTGCACTAGGCTCCCGGGGTCCTCTGCTGATTGTAGTTATTGGTGCAGCATAGAACAGTGTCTGCAGTTGGCTTATGCTTTAGTTTAACTTTTCAGTCCTACAGCACATGTAGCTTTCTCTATTTCTGAGCTTTGCAAGAGGAAAATCTTGTGCATTTTTCATTGAACCTAATTTTCTTATTTTTCTACATATTTCACAAGGAGTACTGTACCCTCGTATGGTCCAAACTCAGGAAGGCAAAAGCATTTCCTTTGCCAACTTTGCAAGCTTTCAGGAGAGTGCCTTGAGCAGTGATTTTGACTGTGAGAATGGCTACTCCCTTGTTTCCATTTGTTCAGCCACTTCTTGCTACTTTTACCAGCTCTGGCTACTGCTAGCTGTTATAGATCTTTTCTCTCTGAGGAACAGGGGACTCCAAGCCCTTGTGTGTATAGATCATTTCCACTTCTTAATCTAAATCCCTCATCTTTAAATATGTTTTCCTTGGTTCAGGTAAACTTGAAGCCTTAACTCAGCAGCCAGAAATAAATGGTTGGGCCCATTATGTCCATTCATACCCCTATTGATGTCACAGCTATTTGGTGTAAGCATCACACTGCTTGTGAAGATATGAATGTAGGATCAGGACCTTTCTTCACAGACATATCCAGACTTTGATGACCATATTATCACCCTCTATGGGAAATTCCTCTCTTTGAATGGATTGGTTTAAGTAATTTTATAATCAGAGTTTTTTCTGTTTGATTTTTTTTTCTTTTGGTGTTGTGACATACGGGGATAATAAAGAGTTCATTGCATGGTATTTGACAAGAAAATGACATTCTGTGTATTGGGAGTGGCAAAAGACTTGGCTCTCAGTCATATTTCTTTGTTCCTAAGGGAGTTTAGAAAAAAGATAGCTATAGGAAAGGGCGGGTGTTTCTATTTTCATATTGTATTAACCTATTCATTTCTTTCAGAAACCTTAAACCCTGTGTTGGCTTCCAAATACACTATTTCTTTAAACATTTCTTTACCTACAGTTACCTGATTAACAAACAAATATATTTATCAATTAACCAATTTATTTACAGGGAGAGGCTGCAAAGAGAAATAGCATCCAGATCCCAAATGCCTCAGAGATGATGATTCTGGGTGTGAGTGAAGTACCCTGTGCCATCACTATACTTATTCTCTTACGTGTCCTGTATTTACTAAAACCTTTCTGGAAAAATCTGAAACCAAGGCAGTCTTTCTAGAATAGAAATGAATGGAATTTCATACTGAAAATCAGAATATTCTGAATAAAGTTACTGAGGGCCAACATTTGCTATCCTTGCTCACAGTGTTTTGTCCCTTATTTCTGAGATAGATTGACTTTTTTATTTATATAGACTTGAGGTAAAAGGTACTATTCAGCAATAGTAAGCATGGCAAAATAGGTCCATACCTAGAGTTTTATGTGGACTGGGAAATCCACCAGAGAAGGATACTGTACAACTAAAAGCCAATTTCTTTCTAAGCACAGGTAAGATCCAAAAGTCCAATAAAAGAGTCTTCCTGGGTTCAAATCCTATTCATCAGAAGCCAAAGAAAATAAATGTAGCAGAGAGGTAAAATAACTCCAAGAAAATTGGCTCTTCTTTATGTTAGCCTGCCAGTTATGTGAACTAGTAACGGTTCTTAGGCCTCTAATTTCAAAATGGCTTTCTATTTTATTATTATTATTATTTATTTATTGCAAGACTGAGCTCAGCTTCTTTTGACATGCTAGAGAACAGAAGCTCTGAACAACTTTTTAGCCCCATTTATTACTGAACTGGCTTTCTAGGAACTGCTGAGAGTGCCATGTAAGGAAGAAATGTTACAGACATGGCTGACACTAAATCAGAATACAAAACCTTGAAGTCAAAGTGAGCTAAAATTTCAAAAGTGCATGTCAAGATTTCTCTATGTTATATTCCATGAACTGTATTTAAATCCGCGCCATCTACTATACAATGTCTTGTCGCTGAAGCACAGAATATATCTGTTCTATCCTTGTATATAATGCTGCCTGAGTTCATTTTTTGAAGCAGATTTTACGATCCATTTCTGTTAGTCTGTACTGGCATTTTATGCAAATGTAAGAATATAAGTAAACAAACAAGAGCCAGGATATGATCTTATGCTGCTCTTGCCAAAGACAATTCATTAAACTTAGAAGTCAGTTAATTTAAATTTAAGACAAATGGATCATTAGTATTGTTGTTTTAAATGCAACACAAGTTAATGAAAGGCAAATGATGGTGAAATGGAGTCACGCTATCATGAGGGCATATTTAAAGTCTTTCAAATCTGTATGGAATCTGCTTTTATTAAAAATGCACTGAAACATTTGGATTAAAGAGAAATATTAGGCATGCATTTCCTCTTGGCCCTTTGAAAATCCCAGCCTAAATTAAAGTGCATCAATGAAAGCTGATATTGGAAAAAATACAGTGACCTGAACTATAGTCAATGGGCATACTGGCCGGGGTTCTTAAAACATTTCAGTGTTTATGTTAAAGGCCTAAAGAAACTGATTTTCATAAGTGCTAAGAACTCGAAAGCTCCCAGTAGTTTCATTAAGAGCTGCTGGATGGTCAGCACTTACGAAGATCTTGTTGTTTATGGACTTAGACTTATTCACCTCCTGCTGAAAATCTTGGTCACCGTTTTGAACTATAACTGACTTGCCATAAGGTTCACCCCTCCTCATCCCACCAAGCTTCTCTGACACTCTTCAAAGCCAGTCTTCCCTTTCTGGCCACTCTACTTGGACTGGATCCTCTGGGGCTAAAGAAGGAAGTGCTGCAACATCCATTGCTGATAGAGACCAATGGATTTGGTGTGAGATGATTTAATGGAAAGTCATTCCATAGTTCTTGCCACCTTTGGCAAGCTTTCTTTTTCATTGGCTTTGGCATTTAGGAAAGATGAAGCTACAAAACAAGAAGTGGTAGTCCCTCTCATGCCCTGTCCATTTTCACCATGATCTAATCTCCTCCAGTTCCAGGATTGGAGGGGATGACAGGGCCCCAAAAGGTTTCTTCGATGTCCCTGAATATGTGTAAGGTACAGTATGAATAATAATAATAATAATAACAATAAAACCAACTTCTCCACATAGCTCCTATAGATCGTAAGCAATGCAAATGAACAACAGCTTTTGCTCAGTAATCACTGGTTTGATGTTTTAAACAATGTCCAAAAAAAGCAACTACATTGTCAGGCCTCCCACGTAAGCAGGTGAAACCTGCCTTAAGTATTGTTCAAGACAAGACCCGTCCAACCTTGGAATGTTATTTGTGCTGCTATTATTGTTCTCTTCTGTCTGCACTTTGTGTCACAAGCTGTAATTTCATGGTGACTTGGGTTTCTTTTGAGAATTATAATTAAGAGTGTGGCACATGGGGGTGGGGAGGGGATTCCTTTTTTTCTGTCTGTAAATAACAGAACTTTCTCTTTCTTTCTTCCCCTGTTTTTCAAATTATATTTGCTGCAGGTGCATAGGTCCACGTATTGAGGACTGCATCGGCCTGATGGATAGGTACTTTCTAAGTGATCACTCCCCTTGTTTTCCTTCCATATTCCATGTGTGGGCAAGGGTGCATGTGTGTGCATGTTCCTGTGAATGGTGAATGATATTTTCTGTTCTGTAATTGCCTGCAGGTGTAGAGGTCCCGCTAGTCATGACTGCATTTACTATCCATGGACACGCCAGTCCACTTTACCACAATATGCTAGGTAACATCCACCATCTTTCCATTTTCTACTTAAGATCCTTCCCCATTTGCCATAGGAGTGGTGTACTAACCAGTTTGGTCAAATATACAAATTGGAGGGTATATAGGGCATCCTCAGTAGCCAGGTAAACAAACAGCTTGCTTCTTAATTTGGAAGTCATCTGGCTGTAATAGGCCCATTTTTGCTGAGGTTGAAGTTAATTAAATGGTGATTTTTAAATTTTTCACAGAAAAAAATGAAAAAAATAAAAATTAAATCTGAATGAAAAATTCCATTTCATTTTGAACTAAAGATTTTCATTGTGTTGTTGTTTATGAAGGAGAGAAATGAAACAACATGAAAATGTTACTCTTTAAATGGTTTTGTCAATAAAGAAAAAGCTTCAGCAGAACTGCCTCCATGGAATATCTCTGTTTATGAAAAACTGTATTTGTCCTCCAAAAAAATCCCTCAAAATATCTGAACTATTTCTAGCCACTAGATTTTTAAGCCAGTATTAGGAAGTGGCACCTTAAAATGAAGAATCCAACCTATACTTGCATCGGTTTTGGTGCATAGAAATGCATGCTTCATAGCCAAGGCAATTTTATGTAGGAAGAATTTACAAATGTTTAAATTGAAATTATTTCTTTATGTTTACTTATGTTATATCCAATTCATGTTCTTTGACTTGTTTCTTTTTATATTCAAACTGGTTAGTAGGGCCTCCAGGTTCTTGGGTTATTGCCATGGGCTAAAAGTTTATGGGGATTTTATCCTTTCAACCAACATCACCTCATAAAGCATTTTAGCTGGTTTTCCTTCATATCAGAAAATGCATATAAACAACTCAGATAAGCCTAAATTGAAAAAAAAAGGTTTCAATGCCTCAGGGTTGTTTATTCACCAAAAATCCTTATTACCTAGCTGTTGAGTGACACAGTGGTTAAACATGAGAAAGTATTCTAAGTACATAAGCAGAATATATTTCTTAAATAGTTTAGATAGGATCAGTTATGCCTAGGTTCAAAATCCAGCAGCGATAATGGGGAGTTGTTTTTTATTTTCCAAGAGTGATTTTGAATGCTTCCATTTTTGGATGCTCAGCCTGAGACAAATAGGGACTAATTTTCAGATATGCCACATGCTCAACATTTTAAAATATAAACCACTCAGAGATCTCTCAGACTGGGCTCCCTACAAACCAGATGTCCAAAATCAGCAGTCATTTTTTTAAATATTGGCTTCACTGACTTTGGTAGGTTTTGATTCTAGTCCTTAGGCCACAAATAAGTAAAGCGTATTAGTTTTAAAGGCTTCAGCAGGACTACAAACTTAAAGGTAAGTACATGCTTAAATGCTTTGTTGAAAGTTTAATGTAAGAATAGTGTGAATAACACTTAAGGAAGAATATTACATTATTTGTTCTAGCAGTAACAGGAAGACAGCTCTTATATAATTACATTGCACTCATAGTTTTAATATGTATTCTGTGATTTCTGGTATTCTTACTGGGTTTTTTGTTTCGTGATGTTAGTATGATAGGGAAATAACGTATCTTACTCCATACAGTATTTGATTTAGGTTGAGCAGCTTTTTCAGGTAACTTTGAATTCAGAATGTGGAATTTTTGTCCTGATAATAATTTAAGTATCAAAGGACACAATCCAATATCCAATGTCAATAGAAAGACTCCCTGTTAATCTTACCAGCTGCTAGACCAGACCCTACACTTTAGCAGCAAATGAGTAATTAGATATGTAACTCCAGAATGTGGAGGCATTTGCTAGAAAGCTATCGGGCTTCGTGATCTTAATCATGCAGTCCATTAGCAGGCTCTTTTTATTTTGTATGTGGATCAGTGCTTCTATCTCTGAGTCTGTGATCTAGCATCAAGTCAGTTAAAGCAAACTACTGAGGGAGGTGAAAAATAAAGTAGATGATTTAATCCACTTAAATGAGGCATATCCTGCACCATTCAGTATTGGTAGTGAGTGACTCCTCAATTATAGAACCTGGGAAACCACTTCAAAGAAAGGATAGTTCCCTTAGATCCGACAGAAATTTCTAGTTTTAGCTTTAGAGAATATGTGAAAACTATTGCAGTGTAAACTTGATTAAATATTAGTACATGTTTTATTTTGTTACTTTCAAAGCAATGAAAGAACTGCTAGGGCCATTTGACAATTTAGGCTTATTACATTATGCAAGTATCTGTTTTTATTGACAAAAAGCTGCTTTTGTTAAGGGTAAAAATAAGCAAAACTGCATTGGCAAAATGGTACTTTTTCTGATTGATGGGTTAAGACCCAAAATGTTTCTATTTCTTTCACTTTAAGTAGGAGCCCTTTTCATATATCTCTAGCTATCTTCCATGTACCAGACCTCTGAATATTTCTTCAGGTGATTAATGGCTTATTTGTGCCTTCACTTTAACATTAATAAGCACTGGTTGAGGAGCAAAGTATTCCATTGTTTCAATAAGCAAGAGGTGATGACAGAGTTCTAAACGCAAACAAATGAGGCATTTTCATTTTCTTCACCTATTTTTTTCTCTTCATATCAGTGTTGTTTTTCTTTTCAGTTTTGCAGTCTGCAGATTGTTTTCGCCATGATCCATTGGCCTTAAGGCTTTTGTAAGAGCCTGGTAGGATAGCAGAGGAATTTTTACTGTCATGTTTAATAAAGATAAATCAGACATATATTACACTGCTTGTTTTCAAAATGATTTCAAACACATCTTTTTTTTTTTTTTGCTTGTATTTAATCCCTCTATACACTGAGAGAAGTATTTTCATGCCACATATTATATTCCCTTTGTATGGGGACTTTTAGTTCCAACATCTCTGAATTCAACTGCATACAAGGGGAAGGCAGGAAACATTGATGTCTTTTATAAAATCAGAAGCATTTTTCCCCTTTCCTATAGACCAGTTGATATGTCTACAAACAGCTGTTAGGTTGCTTGTCATATATATATAAATACACTTGCCCTTTGTTCCTTTGGGACCCAAATTCATTTTCAGTACGTTAACTTAATCCTTAAAAGGATTTCACCATATTGTTAACTACCAGAAAAAGTTCAAACCATAAAGGGAGTAAATGTCTCCTTAACCTAACCAGTGAAAGCTTTCAGAACTAATGGGACAAATGAGTGCTACTTTTATTTGTGGATAGTTGCCAATTCCAGCTACTGCAATTATAGCAGCTATTTTACTGCTGTTGTAGAAATGCTATAAAAAAACATAGGCATCAGAGTTACATAAAAAATGTAAGTGCCACATCAGGTCAGACCAGTGGTTTCATCTAGCCTGGTATCCTGTCTCCAACAGTGCCAGGAGTGGATGCTATAGAAGGAAAGCATTGAGACATACAGTAAAATCTCTGTTATCTGGCATCCCTGGGTAAGGGGATTGCCAGTTATGTAAAAATTCTGGTTATCTGAAACCCCCGGCAGGGGTTTTCAGATATTGTGGAGTGGGGAAGATGGCAACTCCACCCTTTGACAGGACCCCCGCCCCTTGATCAGCATCTGGGGACCTGAGGTCCTGCCCTAACCCCTGATCTTTGCCATCAGAAGTCCCTCCCCTTGCCTTCTGGAAGTACTCCATTTGGGAGGGGATGTATGCCCTTTTGGAACCAGATAAAAAACAAATCATATGCTAAAAGTCAAACTCCTACTATAACATATTTTAATTTTATTACAAAAACCATTTTTGTCATGATTTGTGTTTGTGTACTGTATATAGAGCTTGTTGCATAATAACTCAAAAATAAAGTCTTACTCTTGCAGATTGTGTGGGGGGTGTGGGAGGTGGTTGGGGGGGTTGTGAGGGGTTGCGGCTGTGTGGCAAGTCAATAGGGTATGTTGGGGTTTGTGTACATCTGGGGGGTTGTAAGGGCAGGGTGAAGACCTCCCACATACTCCCCCCATGTTGCACAGCCCCTGCCACTGGCAGCAGCAGCACTCAGGGTGCTCATGGCCCATGCAGGCAGTGCCACCCAGTGGCACATGGCTCTGGCCAGCGCTGCACAGGGTGGCAAGGAGCACAGCCAGGCCGGTCCACTTCTATTGTGCAGGGCTCCACACAGTGCACATGCAGCTCCCAGCACTTGTGCACTTGCACGATAGAGCTGGCTGCCTTCTCCACTCCCTGCCATGCAGGTCCTGGGACTGCTAGGAAGCAAGGGGTAGAGCTCCCGTCCACGTCCATCAGAGTTCCAGGACCTGCACAGCAGAGAGCAGCAAAGGCAGCCAGCTCCATCGTGTGGTTTCCCTTGGTGCTACATGAGTGCTGGGAGCTGCACATGTGCTGTAGGGAGTTCCGCACAATAGAGGCAGGCCAGCCTGGCTGCGCTCCTTGCCACCATGGCCAGAGCCGTGCACTGCCAGGCGGCAGCACCTTCCCTGGCTATGAGCACCCCAAGCACCCACTGCCTGCTGCTGCTGCCAGCACAGGCTGTGTGCCATGGGGGGGAGTGCATGGGGGATTCCCACATTCCCCCCACACCTTCTCTCACACCCATACCCTGGGTATGGGCTCCATGTTGCTGCCAGCCCTAGCCCCATGCTCCGCATTCCTGCCCAGCTGCAGCTTCCCCCACTGCTTCCCTACCTGGTGCCCAAAATGAGGGGGTACCCGGGAAGCTGAGCAGGTCTCCAACAGCAGCTGCAGCAGTGGGAGCAGCAGCCCTGCTTGGCTTGAGCCAGGCCCTTCCACCCACAGAGGTGGGAGCGAGGCGCATGGCCTGGGCAGTGTACAGTTAGCTGGTGGGCAGCCACAGGCCAAATGAAATTGCCTTGTGGGCCAGATTCAGCCCACAGGCCAGATTTTGCCTGACTACTGACCCATCATGATGATATCTGATTCATAAATTGTAATTCATGTGGTACATTGACTCAGTTGTATATCTGAGTAGATCCCCAACCTGGTTCATCTGAGTTGTTTGGGAGTTGCCAAACATGACATCTGTTCACACCCTGATGACACAAAAGTGTAAGCAGCTAGATTCACCTTGCC